AGGTTTCCTTACTTTAGATTTTTTTGTTTTGTAAGATTTAAGAATTGAATTGGCTGCATAGTTTGATAACTAGGATCAAATTAAGATTGTATTTAAGATGCACCTAGCATGCATTTAGCTTGATCAGTGTCTACATGTATATAACACTAAGGGGAAATCTTTTTACCTGCGAAACACTGACTATTCTTGAAAATCTGCTCATATAGTGTTTAAAACAGACAACCCTACATTAAAAATGCATGCAAGATTGTTTCTCATAGTGATCCGCGTTAATGTGTTGCTAAACCATTTTAATAATTGGGTTAATGACTGAACGTCGTCTTTGTTTGAACTCAATAATATAAAACTATCTCTTAGGATAGAGTTTCATCACTCCTTAGATGGTTGTATGATGCTTTGAATGTAATATAAGAACTAAATATGTGTTGAATCAGTTGATAATGTGTGTATTTATACATATATATGTGTATATATACGGTAACAATGGCAAATTGTTCAAACTAGCTTAGCTAAAAGGGTTAAAATTAGCAGAAGTCAAAAAAATAATTAAATAGATTACTTATAGATAGATAACCGGTATTATCAAGTTCATTTACTTAACAAAAGTCTCTACTACTTCTTTGGAATCTAAAACCTCATTATTGGTTTAACCTATTAAAATGTTTTAGCTTCAGTTAGCAGCCATGATGATGCAGCACAGCAGCGGAGTTCAAACCGAAACCAATACCAACTTTTCGGCTTAAACGAACCTTACGGTTCAAAAACAAGTGTATACTTACAGCGTGTGTCTAACCGGGCCACATGATGGAGCGGTACCGGTGCTACAAGTCCCAGGGAAGTTGTAAAACTGTCCAGGCTTTGGCCCGTTTTCCCAGAAATTGAGCTTCACACCACTGGACTCCATGTTGAATATGACGGAAGTGACGAAGCAGATGCTACTTCTTCTTCTGGGGTTTGGAGGCTGGAGCTTCACTTCCACAGAGCCACACAGAACATGGAGGATTTTATTCAGTTGTGGGGTTTTAACTAAATTTAATGTACTGTGTCAGATGAAGGGCAGCTACAATTTAACAAGGTGCCACTGGTTTTACACCAATAATTTATTAAATTGTATGAATTGTGTGCAGAAGGTGTGCATACTGCCACCTACTGTACATGAGTGAGTAGCATCATTACATCTATTAAATTACTTTTTTTTTTATTTTATTTTGTATTCTGAAGATAAATAAATAATGCTTTCAGCCGAGGTCGACTGGGGTTCAAGGAGACAGAAGCAGAGATACAAAAAGCAGCTGTAAAAGGCGGCCCCGTCCAGGAAACACACAGCCAGGCAGAGGAGCTCCGAGCCAGCTCCCATGCCAGAGGACGAAGAGAGCACCTCCAGCCAGTCACAGTCAGAGAAACAGGACTACACTGGAAAAACAGGCCGATCTCCAACATCTATAAACAAAGGTGTTGATGGCAGCAGCACAGCTGATATTTCTCTCCAGGATGGCATCACGGCCAAACAGGAACAGACGAGGCGAAGCTACTATGAGAAAAAGCAGAGAGAGCATAACGTTAGAGATTGAACTAACAGACAAATGAAGAAAATGTAAACATTTTTAAAGAGACAGCAAATTTAATTATAAAGGAAGGGAAAGGTTTTTTGGTTCAAAATGGGAAGCTGGATAGATTACCATCAGAAAAAGGAATAACAAAAAAATCAAGAATTCTAAACAATATAATAAAAGAACTTGGTTTAATAGATGTATGGAGGATGAATCATCCAAAAGAAAAATAATTTACATTTTACTCTAATCCTCATGATAGTTATTCTAGAAAAGATTTTATGTTGGTTTCGCAGCAAAATGCTTGTAAAGTGATGAGCAGTGGAATTAAACCGATTACAATAAGTGACCACGCATCCATTAATTTTACAATAGGCCTGGAGAAAGACCCTCCCTATTTCAAATATTGGAGACTTAATGTGTCAATCCTAACAGATAAGACAGTAGTTCAAGAAATAAAACAATGTATTAAACAATATTGGGAAAACGACAATGGAGAAGTAAATTCAGCAATATTATGGGAGTGCTGTAAAGCAGTAATTAGAGGAGAAATCATTGAAATTACATCCCGCATGAAAAGAACAAGAGAATATGAACAGAAACAGTTAGAGAGATATATAAAAAAATGGAAAAGGAACATGTAAAAAAATTAGACAAATCTGTAAGGTTAGAACTAGAAAATAAACTATATAAGTTAGATCAACTGTTAACTTTTAAAGCAGAATATGATCTAATATGTATAAATCAAGTGTACTATGAAAAAGGTAACAGCATCTAAGTTATTGGCATATCAATTAAAAAAGAAACAGTCAGAAAGGTTAGTAACAAAAGTAAGTCATCTCATTTCTAAAGAAATCAAGATGAAACCAAAAGATATTGCGGAAACATTTGCAGACTACTATAAAATTCTATATGATGATGAAGACAACGATCCTTTAAATACCAAAACAAAGGAATTTATGAGCAAGTTAGAATTACCAAAATTGACTTTGGAACAAGCACGAGAAATGACAGAACCAAGTACATTAGAAGAAATACTTAACACTATTAAAAAATGAAAGAGTAACAAGAGTCCCGGAACTGATGGGATTCCCGGGGAATTTTATAAGTGTTTTTTTTGAAGATATAGCACCATTATTAAAAAGAACCTTCAATTATGTTCTAGAATCAGGGAATGTACCAGAATCATGGTCAGAGGCTGTCATTTCTGTCTTGCAAAAGGAAGGAAAAGACCCCAGTCAGTGTGGAAGTTATCGTCCTGTTAGTTTACTGTGTATTGACTTAAAAATATGAACAAGTATAATGGCAAATAGAATCCAGAAAGGTATACAAAAATTAATAAAACCGGATCAACAGGTTTTATACCTGGGCGACAGGGCTCTAAAAACATTAGAAAAGCTCTAAATCTCATGTCATGTGCCAGATTATGTGCAAATACAAATATGTTTTTAAGTTTAGATGCTCAAAAAGCATTTGACAATCATTTTTGTACACAGAAAAAGAAAAAAGCAATATCAGATTCACAAACCCACCCAAAAAAAATTAACTGCACATATTGGGGACCCGTTGGACTGACAATAATAAACAAAATAAATGTAACAATAGTTCCACCAACTATTGGTTGTGGTTTTATAGAATATTGATCTCTTTAGTACCTCTACGACGCATGGTGTCAGGATGGCCGAGCGGTCTAAGGCGCTACGTTCAGGTCGTAGTCTCCCCTGGAGGCGTGGGTTCGAATCCCACTTCTGACAACACCTTTTACTTTTATTTCCAATGGTACCATTAAGGTTACTAATTAACGCTATTTAATACAAGGGGAGGGGGGCAGTGTGAAATCTATCGCAAACAAAATCGCTCACCTTTATAGTTAGATAACTGAGACAATTCAAAATTGTCTACATTGTAATTAGAACCAATTGTAATGTAATGTGTTTACTTGATCATTAAACTGATTTCGATCACAAACCACACCACATTTTGGCGTTGTTTTGGTTTAAATCGGTTTACATGGTGAAAAAAAAGGAGTTTCTGACTTTTTTTCTGTTTCAAATGGGTTGTTCGTGGGTTGGCGACGCAGTTACTCTTTGCGGTTTTATCTATAGCTGACACCATTAACAGACAAACAATGGGTGAGTTGCCTCTACCAAGTGGTAGCAAATGATGAAAATAATGATAAAGTCGTTCTTGGTTCTGGAGCCATTGTAACTGAAATGTAGTTTTCTCCAATCGGAAACATGTTGTGTTGTAAAGTGAACCAACAGCGCCCCTTGCTGGCGCATACTTGTATAACAGCAGCGTTTCTTCTGAAACTCCGCGTTTCTTTCACGGCGCCGCCTTTATTCACCGCTGCCATCACCTCTCTCTCTGGCCGGGAATCAGAGGCGTAGCCAGAACATTTTAATAAGGTGGCCATGTAATAACCAATGTAGTCAGAGTAGATAGGCACCAAAACCTCACGGTCAATCTACACTTTTAAATGAGGAATTTATGATCTATATTTATTTTATTTACATGGAATATGTAGAAGTTAAAAGTTGGGTTAGATGAGCATAGGGTTTAGAAAGCTGTTACTTAACGTCTCCCTGAGCACATCATCCCACTTCATGACAGTGTGGTGATTAAATCAAATTTGTGTTAAAAATGGAGCTTAGTGAGCTTAAAGTGCAGATTTTCTAGTATTTTTGTTGACAAAAATGTTCAGCTTCATTGTGTAATAATTGCAGCGATTTGCTGACATCAATTTAATCAGTTAGCTATATGTGTTATTTGTTGTTGAAGAAGAGAGGAATAAACAGTTAAAGAGTTACAGGTACATTTATTTAATCCCATGTCATGGAGGGGGGATTGTTATGTGTGATAGCATGTAGTATACTAGAACTTTTTTTAATCCAGTAACCTGTTATATTTTACATTAGAACAGGATTAACCAGATAATCTACACTCTCATCTTCACCCTCAGGACCAAGAAACCTAGATCCTCCCCTATCTAACATGTCTATATTTTTAAACATTTTACTGCTGTAATTTTCTTGCATTCTGAGTTATTAGAGTTAAATGCTTTTAAATGGGTCGCAGGAAACGCGGTGGGTTTTGAGAAGTTAATTAAAAAAACCTTTCAACAGATTTTAGATGCTGAATATGTTAGTTACACATTTATTACTGCGTTAATTCCTAAAAATATAAATACACTTTAAAGGTTTCAGGCTGTCGCAGAATCCCATCCCCAAGTTAAATATTATCAGCTGTATACAAGCCTATTTTACAATGCAGATGCACACAGCGTGCAGCAACATGCACGCTGCTGTTTCCACCCAGCCACGCCTGCTTGTACAGTCACGGTTGCCGGAGCAACAGGGTGGGACCCTTATTGCTGCAGCACACCTCCGTTTTCTGTATATCTGCAAGTACAAACACACATAGAGGTGAGACATGGGTGGGAGGAGGGGAGTGGGGGTGTCAGAGTCCACTCACAAACTGATCAGCTGACTCACCGGGTGTGGAGCAGGTTCCCTCACAGATCTCTGTTTATCCTTAACCATTCTCTCCTTTCCTCACCTGTCTCCCTGTACCCGCCGGCTGAAGGAGCTGCAGTAAGTCTGCTATGAAGTTAACTTTTATTTCTTTCTTCTGTGCAGTTGGACTTCTATGTTGTAGCTCTTTCACTCTTATCTGCCTGCTGTATCAATGCAGATGACAGTTATGGTCTGGTTTGTTTTCCTGGTTCAGTTCAAGGGAACAGATCTCAACATTTGTCCAGCGTTGTGTCAACAGTTCCGCTCATTCTAGCTCATTTCTCCTTTCAGCGAATCATGGCTTCAAATTATTGGGTAAAACATTATTTGATTGGACAAGTAGGCTGTGCTGCTTTTTGATTATTGTAACTAAACCTAATGTCCCTGTTAAATGTTTCCATTCTTACATCTTTAACCTGGATGTCATAACATTTGTGTTATTTTAATATTTTATTCATTATTTTCTACTTTGTGTAGAAGATTCAGTTTGCAGCATAAATTAATTGGGTGACTAATGCTGAGAAAAATTCAACATCCAGAAATAACACCTAACTTGGTGAAGATCTAAGGAGAGATATTACCTGTGATAACCTTACACACGTTGAGGCAAAGCTGAAGTTTCTGCTGAATGTTAAAGAAATTGGTTCCTCATCCTGGTTCTCAGGACCCGCAGCCTTTATGTGTTTTCCTGCTACCTCACACCTGGTGACTAACAGGCTTTTGCATCACTTGATGACATGCTGAGGTGGCATTTAAATCAGGTGTGTTGAGGAGAAACCTTTCTAAACTTTCATCTGGACAGGATGCCCTGAGGTCAGGGGTTTCCACTAGTTTCCGGGTATTTTAGTGGAAACTTCCTGGAGAATCAATGTTTTTAAATAGTAGTGATTGTGGCTTGGAAAAGTAAAAAAAAAAAACTTCTGAAGTGAATGTTTGGGAGGGTTGACCTAGTGGTTAGAGCGGTGCGATTGTGCTCTGAGAATTTTGCAAGTACCCATTCCGATCCCCATAGCCTCCACTCTGGGTTTCTGAGCAAAACTCTTAACCCCACACTGCTCTACGGGCGCCGCATGATGGCAGTCAACTGCTTCCCAAGGGGATGGGTTAAATGTAAAGGTAAATTTCTCCAATGTTAGATCAATAAAATTCAATTACTATTTTTATTTCCCCATTGTGGGACAATAAAGGGATCTACAGAAAGGGATTTACATTTATGATCAAAAAATAAGTGTTTGTTCAGAATAGGGAGATACAAGAGTCACAGCGAGCCTTGTTATCCTGAAAACATTCAACCAACAGTCAAGCATGGCGGTGGCAGCATCATGCTGTGGAACTACACAAAGTATATAGAATAATAAAGGAGGACTACCTCTGTTCTTCAAATTTAGCCCCAAATAAACTTCCAGATAGTTAAAACTTTGCCTCTAATCAGGTGGTCCAACAGGACAATGATCCCAAACAAATGTCAAAACTGGTTTTGGAATAGAAACGACCTCTTTGCAATCTGAATACATTTTAGATGAACTATGTTGATATTACCAAGAGTAGTAAAACAGTTAAACAGAATCAACAGCTACAAATAATAAACAGCTCCCAACCCAAAGCAGTGTTATCATGGCTTTCCGTTTGAGATCAGGCCTCTGTTTCACAAAGCAGGTGTAACAAATTCAGATTAGAATCGCAACTCTAAATTGATCTAGCCTAAAGTTGGGAACTCTGAGTGTTCGGTTTTGTAACGGCTGCTATCAATTAGTTCAATCAATTTTTACTAAGTCCACTCAGAGTGAAGCGCATGCCTAACAAGTATGAAAAGCCATTATCATTGGAGCACCAATTTGACGAGTCACCATGACAACAGGAAACAGGAAGTTCCTATGTCACCCCCACTGGAACTAGATATTTTAAAGCAGAAATGCAAAAAAATAAAATAAAAAAGGAGAATGTGTTTTAAAGACAGAGAAACAGCCCTACAGCTACAAAGGAGAGGAAGATTGTTGATGTTAATGCATAAGTTTGTATAAAGTGGGCTATTGGATATGGCAGGCCGTTTTTACATTTATTAAAAGCACTCCTCTCTGTTTTTCTATTTGTAGATCACTAAAACAAGATTCTTCCTGATAAAATCACCCTCCTAGACACAACTGTGAAAAAACATTTTCTAAATTACTTTTTTGCAGCAGAAACAGAATTTTAGAAAGTTCAAAAAAAATTATACTATTAAGAATTAAGTTTTATATATCTAGAGATATTTACACAGTTTAATTGGCCATTCTGACGTTTATCAGCTTGACTGAATATGCTTTTGTGTTATCTGAAAAACAGTAGTTTTCATAGTTAAAATAATACAAATGCTGACCAGTTTTATTAGGAAAATGAAGATCTGAAATTAATTTATAGACATCCAGAATGTTTATTCTAGATGTGGTAAATGTCACTTTGTTTGAAATGATGATTATAAAAACAATCAGGAATACATATTCAGTGAAACTAGTACACATCAAAATGGCTTGCTGAAATAGTGAAAATATTACGGGTTTATTTCGAAAATGGTTGCAGATCAATATTTAGGTGAAATCTTTTGGCAGCAGGTGAGGATGAAGAATAAAAACGTAGTTCTAATATATAGAACCTTTGCATTATCTTATTGGTCCCTCCTCATGTTGATTCAGTCTTCTTTTATACAGTTTATAGTTGCTGTTTGCAGCTGTGCTTCAAATGTTATCATCCCAATAAATGGTTGTTATTTGTGGCTATCAGTCCCATAGAATGGCTCAGATTGTGCCAGTAGACTCATTAAGTTTTTATCATCGAGTGAATCCTAATCCTAACCCTAAAGTAATTCCTTTTCCCCCACGGAATCAGTGAGTCTATTTATGTGTAATCTGAAAATAAGTTCAGTAGTTCTTAATGTACTGTAAATAGAACTAAATGAAAATTAAATGATCCACATCTTGCTCATATTAAACAATCAAGAAACAAGATGCCCTGTCAACTGAGTTGTAGAATCCTCTCCCTATAAATATTTAATTCTCTGTGAAAAAGTGCAGATAATCTTTTAATAAGATCCTCATAATGTGTGTTACGGTCCTAGTGAAGGATATTTTGTTTTTATGCACAACGCTACAACAAAAATCTGATTAAATCAGGAAATAAAACAGCGTGATCGGGTTAATATAGCTTTGTTTACGTTTTACACTGAGGGCTAAATCGACAAACTGGGACGTGCAGTTAACTTTAGCCGAGTACATACTGTATGTGGGGCTTTTTGCCATCTAGACTGGGAGAAACAAAAACTGCAAACTCTGCATCCAGATCTTATTTTTAATATGAAACAGAATAGATTAAAAAAAGATAAAGATCCCAAGATGCGAGTATGTAAACCTGTGAGTGTATAAACTGGTTTAGATATTTTGTTTACTGAAAACAGGTTTGAGAAGGTGAGGCCAAAGCTGCCAGCATAACTGTTTTTTCTTTTGAAGTAACAGCTCCAGTCAGACCAACCGGCTGTTTCAGTGCTCTCTGAATCCAAGTGAAACAAAAAATATCTGCATTTTTCTTTCTGTTTCATGATTTGTCCTTTTAAACAGAAGCGTCATGGAATCTACAGGAGAGGAACTTGAAGAAGAAGCCTGCAGGTAAAATTTCACACCAAGACTTTTGATTTCCTTTGACATTATAAATACAAATGTTTGATCTGCAAAAATCTCTTAAAAAAAAAAATGTGTAATTTTTTTCTAACCTCTTCACCTACTGTATGTTTGCCCAGAATAAACCAGGAAGATGAAAACATTGAAACCACCCCCGAATATGCTGAAAATGCATCCAGTTCTATTCTAACAACCCCAACAGGTACGACTAGGACTAATCCCAATATGAAGTGTAGTGGATAAATTGAAAAATTTTATGAAATGAATTCTATGTTGGTGAAGATTCTCAGTCTTTCAGGTCATAGTCATTTCAAAAAAGTTAAAAATGTTAAAAAAAACAAACCCCTGGACTTTGTTTTCCAAGTTGAAGATGTTTCACTTCTGTTCCAGGAAGCACTTTTAATTAAAAATGTCTGGATAAGCGTTGAGTTCCAAGCTTTATAGAGGAGCCCAACAGAGCTTTGTTATGGCTCAGAAAATATGCAAATTAAACCGGAAGAACACCCTTCAGTAATGGGGAGTCGTTAGGGTCTTTGATAGCCTCCAATACACGATACTGGCCTATGCCTCGGAAAAAAGAGAGTCGTTAGGTTAACTGGTCATTAAATACTTTTTGAATTTTAATCTATCCCCCATAAAAACAAAATGATAGGGCTGTCTTTTTTTTCCATTGTGCTTTTAAGTAATCAAAATAATATTTAATAATATCTACCCCAAAAAATCAAGTCTCCGCATACACACACATTTCTAGTCACATCACATAAGGGACACAAATAAAGTTCATTCAATTACATTAATTTCTATGTATTTTTTTTCTTTAACTTTATTTGCTTGCAGTCAATTAATCCTACTGCATTTTGTGGAGCTGCAGCAAAACCTCAGTAAACATGTTGAAGCAGAACAGAATGGATGAAGATTAAAAAACTCTTTGGAAAAGCAGAATAACCATAATGTCGATTAATACTAGCTTATAAGATCGATTCTTGTGCTTAGTGTGATGATGACCAAAACGCACACAGGGGGAACGTTTAGGTGTCTGTTTTATTTTACTCTTCAGGACACTTCATTAGAAACTTTACAATCCTGCTGTGCTTTTATCGATAAAAATTTCTTATGGGGGGTGAGAATTCAATTCAGTTTATTTCTATAGCACGTCATCTCAAGGCACTTTACAGTTCACCAGATCATACAATCAAATTGTTTCAAGTTTTCTATCTAAGGAAAACCAACAGATTGCATCGACTCATTGACTCGAAGGCAATCCCTCACATTAAGAATGGTTGTAGCAACAGTGGGGAGGGAAAACTCCCTTTTAACAGGAAGAAACCTCCAGCAGAACCTGGCTCAATGTGATCGGCCATCTGCCGAGGCAGACTGGGGTTCAAGGAGACAGAAGCAGAGATACAAAAAGCAACTGTAAAAGACGGCCCTGTCCAGGAAACACACAGCCAGGCAGACAAGCTCTGAGCCAGCTCCCATGTCATGGGATGAAGAGAGTACATCCAGCCGGTCACAGTCAGAGAAACAGGACTACACCAGAAAAACAGGCCAATCTCGAACATCTATAAACAAGGGTGTTGATGGCAGCAGCACAGCTGATATTTCTCTCCAGGATGGAGTCACAGCCAAACAGGAACAGACCAGATGAAGCTGCTATGAGAAAAAGGCAGAGAGAGAGTAGAACATTAGAGATTGAACTAACAGATTCTGCAGAGTGGGAGAAGAGAGATAGAATAAAGCAGAATGATGAAACAGGGGTCCTTATGTCCTCCAGAAGTCTAAGCCTATAGCAGCATAACTATAGAGATAGCTCAGGATAACCTGAACCACCCTAACTATAAGCTTTATCAAAAAGGAAAGTTTTGTTAAATCACTGGATTATATAATCCAGTGATTAATCATATAAATCATATAAATTGATGTTAAATGTTTGGTATAATAGAAATAAAGAAATCTACTTATTTATTTATGGTTTGGGTGTCATGTATGCATAATTTAACTAAACATCCTGATGATTTCTGTGTGCAGCTCCCCCCAACAGCCTGCCTCTGACAGGGGAACGACAAATGAAGAAGAAAGTGTTAGCAGCTCCAGCTCTGAGTCTGTCATTAGGTGATACACTAATGCTTTAATAAATGTCGTAACTGCTCCTTCTGCCACGCTCTCAGAGTGCAATCTTGGAATCGGACACTTAAAGATTATTCTACTTCTGCTTCAGGTGGCAGTGGGTCGATAACCTCTGACGACCTACAATCAGCCTTCCTCTCCCCCTCACCAGAAGATCTAGAGGACACAGGGCTGGATTTTGATTTGGACGCCATAGAAACGCCATCAGACAGTGAATCCTTGCACTTCCCCATCTATGACCTGGACCTTGAAGGTAGCCTTAGGGAAAATATCAAAAATTTCACATGAATACATTTACATTTTACAACATGTGATTTCATCTCAAAATAATTTTTTTTTTAAAATTAATTCCTTTTCGGAAGAAGTGAATGGCAGACAATATATACATTGAATATTCATACGCACATTGATTGATTGATTGATTGACTTTATTGATCTCACAGTGGAGAAATGTACTCGTTACATGAGCTCAAATAGGAAAAGAATGTTTCAAAAGAAGAAAAAGGTGTGTAGGATATATACAGTATATACAGTACATCCACATATAACTTTTTTTTTAATAGTAGGATTATTATACAGGGTTTTTGCACAGGGTGTTTACATTTTTATTTATATAGATGAATATTTATATAGTTATTGCTCTGGTGTCAGATATAGACAAACAGGTTATTGCACAGTCTATCAAATGGTGCATTGCATATTATATATTGCACAAGTTATTGTCGTTGTAGTGTCGCATTGTAGAGTCTGGTTACAGCAGGGCTGAATGACCTGCTGCAACGCTCCTTTTTACAAACAGGGTGTAAAAGTCTTTCACTTAAGGAGCTGCTCAGCTCCTCTACAGTCTGGTGCAGAGGGTGGATGGTGTGTATACATTTAAACCAATGGGGGGCGGTGCTTATGGGCCTATTGTACCTAGGGCTTCAGCGGGCACCACTCAGCTTAATCTACCTTTTATCTTTTAACGTCCATGCATATATATATATATATATATATATATATATATATATATATATATATATATATATATATATATATATATATATATATACATTACTCTATAACCAGAGCTCTGCAGCTTTAACATCATCATTAGCTGTTCAGATTCAATATGCATCTAATTACCAGATAAAATAGCGCATAAAGCATTAAAATAAAATATATGACACTCAGCAGAGATGCTGATTATTGATAAACTAAATTCATTATTCTGTTTTTGTGCAGGAAGTTTTAGTATCTCTATTTAGTATTAGTGAGGCCAGAAAAATTTTGACAAAAGCGAATCTAAAATGCAGATTGTTGCTATTGGCTAAAAACATTTTGCTTTAACTGACCAATCAGAGGACAGAAAATGCTGATGTAGGAGTGGGCCCGCTAGCTGGTCCTGTGGGGCAAATCTGAAATTTGATTGGTTGAAGAAAACTTTAAATTTATTCTTACCATTTTTGGCACAAATGTATCGTATACTTACCCTCACCTGAAAAACTCATGGATACTTTTTATTTAAGGTATAAAATAAAAAAATTCTAAATCATGGGTTTTATATGTGTAAAATGCAAGAGACTCGTGTGAAACTGTGCTTTTTAAACCAATTAATAGTGTAAAGTGTGAAAAAAACTTCTATTTTCCATAAGTTTTTAAACTCCATATAATTCAGTTTCTAATGACTAGATGAAATAAAACCGCTTGAGGCATACTAAGAGTCTTTCCCATCATGAGTTGTAGGCACCAGATTGGAGGCATGGATGCACATTTGTATCCACTTCTCTCATCAAGAATCTCAGAGTTCAATATCTGTATGTTAGTCAGTCACAAATATATTTAAACTGGGAGAATACCTTCATACATGTGTAACATGTTCCTGAGGGGAAGTTTTTCTGCATACTTTTGTTAGTATGTTTGTAGTTATTTTTCTACATGTTACTTATTCTTCTTTAATTGTCCTTCATGTTGTTTTTAACACATGTGAACGTGTTTTTCCCATGTAGATGTCAGAGAGCTGGAACATGTTTTTATATCTGATGCTTATTTACTGTTGGCTCTTTACTCTCCCAGAGGACCTCCTGCGGCTCGGTGTGGCCTCCCACCACAACAGAGTATCTGGATCCGGATCCAGGTCAGGCTCAGGGCCCGGTTTCTTATCAGGGCCTGACCAGTTTGGACTGGGAGCTTTGGAAAGGGAGGACATAGTGGACGGAGAAGGTACCAAGTGGCGCTGCTTTACCACAGGCGACCCCCCGCAGGAGTCCAGGGTCAACATGAGCGTCCTGGAGCCTTACCTGAGGGTGTTGTCACACGGAGGTTAGACCTGCTCCCTGAGCTCTGGTCTACCTGTTTAACCCAAATATTCAATTTAAGCAGCTGCTGTCATCTCTCAGGTTACTACGGAGATGGTCACAATGACATCATTGTGTTTTCCTCCTGCTACCTTCCAGAAAACAGTCTGGAAAACTACCAGTATGTGATGGATAACCTCTTCAGGTCAGAAACGGCAGCTGATCAGATGGCTGATTGAGCATAGTAATGACTTTGATCTTGTTTCCTTGATTGTCCTGTTTTGTTTTTTTAATTTTTTTTATCTGTCAGATTTGTAATTGGGACCCTGGAGCTGATGGTTGCAGAAAACTATGTGATAGTCTATCTGTGTGCAGGAGGCCAGAAGGAAAAACTCCCAGGAATCGGGTGGCTTAAAGAGTGCTACACCAGCATAGACCGGAGGTACAAAAACACATTACAGTATAGAATAGACATGTTTATCATTCAGAAGACAACAGTTAAAGTGTCTAACAAGGTTTCCTTCTCTTTTCTTTAGAGCCACTAAATAATTGCTTATGGATGATCATTTTGATCCTAACCCTGATTAGAACAATTTTGCTCTTTTCTTTACCTTGATTAATATCTGGAAAGTGCTGTAATTGTAGTTTTGTAAATAACTTGTATAACAATGTTGATTTGAACGTATAAACAGCAAGACTTGGTTAAAATAAGAATTTAGAAAGTTAGAGGCTTACAATTTTATTGCCTGTGTGTATTGGGCCTATTTTCAGTTATGTAATTCAATAACTTCCCAGTAGAGGGAGTACTTCCTACACAGTGAAAGATGGCAATCAAAAAAATAAAACAGGTGGTTTTTAAAAGAAACCCAACTGACACAGAAACAAGTGAAAGTTGTGACCAGATACATTTGTGACTGTAAACAATTTGAATTGAATGTAGAAAAAAAAACATGTCCTGTCAAAAGAAAAAAACAAAACATGTATAAAAATATCCCAGATGAAATAGAAAAGAAATGCAATCCATTTTTGTACCACAAATAAAGAGATTCAGGTCTACCAGCAGCAAAGTGGCAGGCAGATGGACGCTCACAGATACAAAAGAAACAATAAAAAACAAAGAATTGTTTTTCTAAATAGGACACTGCACTGTAAAGAAAAATTAAAAAAAGAACAAAAAATACTTTACAGTTGTTGATGAAATTATACTAAAAAAAATGAAAGAAGAATGCAACTGAATGATGTGATTTTAAAGAAATGTTCAAGATGTTTGTATATGCATGACAACAATGCACCAGGTTATTTATGAAAAAGAAAGGAGGACAAATAAGATATAAATTACAACGCTCCAATACACATAAAGTAACAAAAATAGCCAAACTAAACTAATTTTTTTTCAATTTGGCACATTTCTTTCTCTTTGACTCCTGCTTAATAGATGATCTAAACTATCTGAGAGTTTGCTTGTGGTATCCCTCTGTGCGTTGTAGGCTGGTTTTTAATTTTCCATCCATCCATACTTCATCATTTATCCATCCATCCATCCATCCATCCATCCATCCATCCATCCATCCATCCATCCATCCATCCATCCATCCATC